AGCGCTTGACTCGACTTTCGCTCTTATTAGAGCTCGTTAGCAGTGCATATACAATGGCCGTGCCGGGATTCGAACCCCGGACATCTGACATGCTAGGCGAGCGAGTAACCACTGCTCCACCAACGCACGTTTGGACGGATCTGAATTATCACGTCTTTTAATTGCGGTATTTCGGGGGAATTATCATCGCTTTTGTCGTAGCGATTAGTGGAATACACTTCACCTAGGGGTAGTCCAATGACGAGTTTTCACCCACCTTCAAACACCTGGCACCAAGTGTCAACTAGTTGACACCAACGCTCTAAACAGATATAAGAATGAGAAAACCAATGTAAGAATTTCAATTCCGTTTATGAGACAGAAAATCACCCCATTTGGCTGCCAAATTTGTGATGGATGTTCTTCACTTCAGTTGCTATGCAACATCTATCAAAACAGTGAACCCAGGCGCGAGTTTTGTGTGTTTTGGACTAATGTGAAGGTTATGAAAACTTTGTTTAGTTAAGGCTTGGTTTCCGTCGTGTTCACAGGGAAATTAGCTTTTGTTGACGGTTTTTGGCGATTTTCGCTAATTTCGGCAGCCTCCTGGTTTTGCCTAGTTCTTGTGATCGGGTCGGGTTTCCGTTATCGTGGACTATTCAACCTTCTTGATCACGAATTTGCGACAAGACAGTATAACGGTTCCAGGTCGTAAGGAATACAACCTTGATTATGAAGTATACTACCCCATACGAAGATGAACACAAGTTAGTTTCGTTTCGTATGAGGAGGGACGGGATTCCTGAGTACGGTTTCTACTCAGATAATGCCATATTGTGCTTCTTTGACAGAGTACCAATCATAGTGTTCACGAAATCTTTTCGATGACCATTATTCACGCTCATCACATTGGCACAGTCTCCGAGTATTCCTCAAGCTTATGCCTGAGTAGTCCTCAGGCTGCCTCATTTTTCAATTAGTACGCTAGTTTCGTGGCGGGTCACATTAGTACGCTTCGTGGCGGGTCACACTACTCACGGGGTTAATGAAAACTCTTTGAACGCTGCAGCGATCCACTTTAGTCAAAATCCGATCGGCCCCAAAAACCCAGATTAATAGCATCTTATCGCCTTTGTGCTTTCTGATGAGCTCTATTCACGCACGGTTAAACGTTAGCACAAGTGATAATCGATGACAAATTTGTAGCATTCCCACATCGTGTTGTGGCATGACTTTTTGAGGACTGTACGATTTTCGAGTCAGCAAAGATGTTACCTTCTGTAACAGTACATTCTTCAAGGCCATCCAGCAGCGCAGCACAATGCTCCTTTTGCAGTGGGGAAAAACTGACTGTTTATCTCGTCGCTCAGCTCGAAACGCAGGTAGGTCGGCTGAGGTGCAATCTTCAAGTGGTCACGGAATCTCCTTGCGAAAGAGGTATTGATCAGTGCACTCAAATGAAAGCCCTTAAACGGATCAGGGGAACAGGCAAACCAGATTTTGTCACGCCATGCAAACATGCTGAAGTGACAGAGATTACGCGGTGAACACCGAACTTGGAAGCCTGGCGATCAGTCATTGCACTGTCAACTGAAAGCGTCCGACGATTTACCGCACATCACTCGTTAGATCCACACCAAATTTAAGTTTCAAAACGTTACCTGACCTCTTGAAATTACTCTCACAAATGTATGAAACTCGTTCGTTTGCAAGTATGAACCGGGAACAAGATTGCTGATTTGACGCGTACTATAATTCGGTGCAGTGGTGGGATGGAATGTGTCCGCCACAAGACAAAAGAGGAAATGTCCGGAGATGTTCCAGTTCCATCTTCTTCCGACTTCCGCCCCGCGGATGGACGACAAATAGTGCGGTGAACAACAGTTGCCAGTTTGACTGGTCACAGATGTAATCAATGTTTGCGTGACTGGTGATGGATGGTGGACAAAACCGCCGCTCCAGATAGTCAAATTAGTGAATGAATGCACAATCCGATAGCTTTTGCGGTACCGGTGAGTGTACACTCAATCATGAAGGAGCTTACTCTATAGTACCTGATGTTAATGTCAGGACGCGCCCAGACAGGAAAAAAGCACATGTGTGGAGGGTGGCGCATCCCCAAGGTCACCTTCGGTTCGACACGTCCGGACGGCTCTCACCAAACACGGCTTAGAAACATATGACCAGTGTAGTGGGCATGAGAGTGTTCACGACCG